GCCCAACGGAGGTTGGAACTTAAATCTCATAAAAAGATACCTTCACCCAAATTGCTCTTGTTCAACCTCTGTTGGGCCTGTAGAAATCCGAGACTCTTGTATGGAGAATAGAGTCGGCATTATGAAAGGCGTGATAGACAAGAGGATCAGGCAGGGAAGTCCATCTATCAAAAGCCTAATAATAAAATTTATTAAACTATATTAAATTAAAATTTTCATAATTTTTTAGAAATTAAACAACACACATTTAAAAGCCTAGTAATAAAATTTAAATCTTAGTTAAAAACAATTTATTTTTTATAAATATACAAACATAATAATTATAAAAAAATAAAAAATATCAAAAATTTTATACTATACACTGATATTTATTAAACTATATTAAATTAATTTTAGAATAAATTAAAATTAATAATAATAATATAATAATTATAATAATAATATAACAAGGCTTGAAGGGCCACCTAAACCCGAATCCTTTTTTACAGGACTTATCAGGGTCAAGCTTTCAAACCCGATTACTTTTAAAAAAATTATTTTCAAAGCCCGAACCCTTATTTAAACATGGTCTCCAAGCTTGGCCCTTTAGGCCCGACCCTTATTCCCGACTCTACCTATCATTAAATCAGTTTAAAAGATGAATGGTCAAAATCTTAGTTCATTGTATCAAATATGTTGAAATTTATCTAAAATAATCAATAGGATGTGATATAAATTTGGCAATGATAAGTTGATCAAAATCTGGAATTAGTTTGAACTATTTCTTATTGAATTTTAAAAGAAAAAGTAATCCTCTACAATAATGGTGATTATTTAAATCAATTTATTTTTTCTACAATAAGGTGAATTATTACTTATTGATTTTTTTTTAGGTGGTTTCCCTCCACTATAAATAGAAACAAGTGGCTAGAGGTAAAACACACACCAAAACAAATAATTTTTTAATTTGTTCTTCCTCTCCCTCCCCCGCTCTTCAATACATCTACCATGCATCATAGTCTAAGCTTTAATAGTCTAAACTTGTGTGGATGGTCGAATAGATTCTGCCATACTTGAATCTGGTAAGACTCTGACCCGACTCTTTTTATTCAGTTTATTATTTATTTAATATTTCATCAAAATATAAACAAGTCATTTTATTAAATCAGACTTGTCAATATAATAGTTCAATAGTCTGCTAGTTATAGCTAGATTGAGTGTGTTTTTGGTTTTTAATTTACATTTGACAAAAATTTATCTCAAGAATTAAATTATTTGTTAGATTTAGCATAAACATATTACCTATGTAATTTGAATGTACTTTTGAAGGTTACTAAATAGGTCAAATCAATTTTCAATATTATACTGATATCTTTTTTTTTAAAGAAAATTTCTTGACCAAACATAATGAAAAAAGAACCCTTTAGAGTCTAAAATTTCACTTAGGAGTGCAACCAAGGGTAGTGAAATAAAATTAAAATGTAAATTAAAATTATCTCATTGTCCTTGATAGTTTAAGCCTGTTAAAAGACACTTATAAATTTTCATATTGAAATTGTTCATTTTTTATAATGAAGTGATTAATTTTCTTATTTGAGTCATTTATATACATATCTTCACTTAATTTTATTTTTAATGTTGTTATCATGGTAAAATAGTTGCAAATTTTTCATATTGTAGTTGTTTATTGCTCATATTTAAGTGGTTATTTTTCTTACAGGAGTTGCATATGTGCATAATTTCACTTAATTTTATTTGTAGTATTGCTATCATATTAAAAATAGAAATTCTCCAAACTGAAATTGTTCATTTATCATACTACAATAATTAATTTTTTTAAAAGAGCTGTTGATTCACATAACTTCACTTGTTTTAATTTCATTTCACTACCCTTGTTTTGCAATGAAATTTCTAACTTTAACTTTTGTTTGGTTGGAGGGAGAGGAGTTAAAATTTTCCCTCCCCTCCCCTCCCCTTGTCCAAATTGGGAGGCCCCCTCCCCCTCTTTGCCCTCTTCTCCTCTCTCTTGTAACCAAACAATATATATGAGAGTAAATGATAGAATGAAAAAGAATAATCATTATTAGAATGGAATGTGATAGAGTGCGCAAAGTGAGACAAAATGGAATGTTTCATTGTTTGAGAATTTTAGTAAAAGAATAAATAATTTTATTTAATCATTATTTAAGAATAATCATAAAATTAATATATTTGAATTAGGTATAATTATATTTTTCAATTTTAAGTTGAGGAGGAGTGAGAGTGAGAGGGTGTGAGAATGATAAAGATAATTTCATAAGAATATTATTTATATTATATTATTTTATCATCAACTCTCCAAATTGGAGGGTCAAGAAAAATGAATTTAGGGATAGTAAGGGATGACTTTAAAGGCTATCCAGGCCATTTCATTCTTTTTAAAAAATTTCTCCCAAACAATGACATAAGTTTTATAGCTATTCTATTCTATTTTATTTTATCTTACAAAAAAAAAACTTTCAAAGATTATTTAAAGATGTGTTTGGTTTGTGTAGATAGGAGGGGAGAAATATATATATATATATATATATATATAAAATTTTATTCTCATTTTATTAGTGTTTAGATACTAAGAAAAAGTATTTGTATCTTTTGAGTTTATTACGGAGAATATATTGATTAAGATGTGATAAATTTACCTCTTCTTTTGCTAATCCCCTCAAGTTAGAGGGGAGTTTGTAGGGAGGGAGAAAAAAAATTTTAAAAATTTTTCTTTCCCTTCCCTCCAAATGTTAAAGCCAAATGAGGAGTGGGTGAAAAAATTCTTCCTCTTCCTTTTAATCAAACAAAAGGCTTTTTGTTACATTTAGTCGAAGAACCTAGACTGAAATTTTTTCTAGGACGCACATTCATTGCATGGTGGGGCCAAGCTAAGCCCACTACTTCATAGCTTATCTTATAGCTATAGATCCCACTTTTGATGATCAACTCGTTAGGACAAAAAAAACCTCCACAGTTCACTAAATTCTTACATTTCCTGCTACTGAAAATATAAACATTTTTTTAAAAAAATTGATCTAAAATATAAAAATAACCTAGTATTTGTAACATTTTTTTTACATTTTACCCTATTTATTAACTTGCATTTTTGTCTTCATTAATTTATGACCATTCTCTTATTGCTCATAAATCTAAACTAACTGTAAAAAAGTAAAACAGTATATTTTTATGTGAATAAAAATTTTATTGATACGTGGATTATTATTAAAAGATGTGATATTTTGGATATACAGTAATTATTGTCAAGAATTAAGAATTAAGATAAAAGCTAAAGCTTGGTACCTAAGAACAGATTGTCGGCGGATAAGAACAGGGAGGCAGGACAACAATGAGTCGCTTTTGGGTTCTGTTCTGAGGCCAACAATTTTTTGGGTTTAGTTCTCTGTTCCCAGCTTTTAATTGATCCAATTGCCCATGTTATAGACAGCTATTTTGAGCCAGTGTATTTGCTACTTACAAAATCGGCGGAATAATTATTAGCAAATTAATTATAAATTTAGTTTTGATTTGAATCATTTGCACTTTTCATGTCAATTTATTGAAACTTAATTCAAAATTAATTTTTTAAAGTAGTTATATTTATATCAAGCATTTTATAATTAATTCAATGACGTGTATATTAAAAATGAATTTATGTTGGGTTCATTGTAGTTGAATGACTGAATAAACAAAAAACTAGATTTTGGCAAGTGCGATATGCGGGATATTTTTTTTCTTATATTTAATTATCAGAAAATCATGCTCAAGACATAGTTATTAGGTACCTCCAAGAACTTTTTAACATCTTAAAATGTATTGTTCTCATGTAGATTCAAGAAGGCAACGCCTATATTCGTGATTTTCTTTAATTAATATGAGGGAAAACTTTGAAATTTGGTTAAAAAATAATTTTTTTATTAATTTCTATGCCTTATAAGTATTATTAGATATTTCACTATTTGTTCTATGTAAATTAAAATCATAGCAAAACCATTTAATTTGCAATGCATTGCCTTTATAAACAATTAGCTTATTCTTACATCCTGGAAAATAAAAAAATAAAGGTGTGTTTTTGTTTTTGAAGTATTTTTTGAGGATCACTTGATATCCTAAAATTTTTATTATAATAATTTTGCTATTAAACTAATAAAAGTGCAGCAAATTAGACCTTGCTGTTAATTATTGAAAATGTTTAGTTGTGGTCAAAGTAGGGTCTAGTTTTTGTTGTTGTCAGGCCTCTTTCCCTTCTCTTTCTCTCTCCCTCTCTTTTTCTATCTTCAAATATGAATGACACAGTGGACTGGCATTTTGAAGCGACACACCTGAACATTGTGAGTAACTTGATGGTGAAGTAGCTGCTTTGGAGCACAATGGTTATGGGGCTGTTGGCCATGTTGTGGCCGCAAGTGACGTCGATTGTACCGGAGATGATGCAGTCATGGTAGAACTGTGTTGTGAGGGTGTCTTGGTATCCATTTAGATAGCAGCTGTAAAAGACGGCTATATGCATGGCCATGAAGCAAGGAACATTCACGCCTGCAAATTCATAATGTTTTGAGATAGGATCGCTGTGAAAATGACCATTGAAGTCTATTGAACTCTGCTTTTTAGACATTAAACAAAGGGAGATCGTTGCTGACGATTGAGGGAGAGAGAGAGAGAGAGATGAAGACGCCAAGCTTCGAGGTCAATGGCAACAGCGAATGTGGTAGAGATGCGAGCTTCAAGGTAGACGATGATGGATGCATGAAATATATAGAGGATTTTAAACTTGATCTATAAATAACAAAAAATTAGTTTTTCTAAAATGATCATAGATATTCTCCAAAGTAAAATTCATTATTTGAAAGGCCATTGCAAGAACATGTATTAATTTTAGTTGAACTCACAATATATAATATTTTTCTCAAATTGCCTGAAAAGGTTAGGATACAATATAATCTTCTAGCTTTTAGGACTTATTTTGCTTCAGCTTTTACATTTGATAAATTTGAGCTACAATATCACAATGAGAGAGTAGGTTCAAGATTTACCATAGCATTGAGTTGATATACACTCAAAGAAATAAGTAACAGAACTGGAAGAACAAAGAATTTGACCTCAATCATGGCGTTAAATCTAATACACCATTTTGGTTGCCACAAAAATAGGCATTTCAGCTTGACTAATAAATACAATAGCAAAAGACTAAATTTAGAGAAAAATGATAAAAATTCAGTATAAATAACCATGTTATTTATATAATTGAAGAACTATAGTTCCTCAAAATAAAAATGAAAATGAAAACTGACAAAAAAATCTTGATACGTCATCAGCAACCAATGAAACAAACCAAAGAAAGCATCAAGAAAAACCAAAGGAATGGCACATTGATAAAAAACAAACCTTCCAGAAATAAGCCTTGTGAATCTACTCCTCAACTTAAAATTAATAAGCCTCAACATTTTCTTCTTCCTTTGTGCCAATCTAAGAAGTCAAATGAAGAAACTTCACATCTCATTCTTTTTTTCACACCAAAGTTACTCCATCATCTTCCTTTTTTTCCTGTAGCCGAAAGAAAAACACCAAAGAACCTTAGGTATGCTTTGTTAAAATTTAGGAGTGAAAAATTGAAGTCTACTATCAAATTATCATCACACTCAATTCAAAAATGTTGTTTTCATCTACAAAAATGATGGAAATCCCATGAAACGAGTTCTTGCAAAGAACTACAATAAAGAGAGGGTAAAGCCAAGTAAGAAATCACAAAAAATCCACTAGAAACCTCTGTGACTAAAGACAAATCAAAGGCCACAGAGCCAGAAAATACCAAAGAGAGGACTTTTAAGTGACACTTACCCATGTCTTGAAATTATTCAAGATGAGTCATTTAAAATTTGAAAAATGGTCTTATTTTAAACAAAGAAAAAATAATTTTCATCAAGAAGTTTATGTTGGAACCTTTTTGCCTTAGATCTTGCTGGTGTCTAGGGTGATTTGAGTTAAACATAAGAAACTCTGCTTCAAGGAAATCAAGAAGTTCTCAGCTGTTTCTGCTAGCAATTCTCTCGTCTCCATCAGCCCTGAAATCTCTTACTATTTCCTAGGCTGATTTTGCTGTTGAGCGGCTGGGAATAGTTGTGGGTCTCAAATGAGCCCTTCGATGGCACACCAATCTTGAGGCTTCCACTCTGTTAGCAATCTCTAGAGCCGCACATCCATTGGAGAGGTCAAGGCAATCAAGCAGACACTTTAAAAAGAACAGACTCGAGTGTCAAACATCAGAAGGTCATCTAGTTTGGAAAAGAAAATGATGAAAGTAGGAACTAACCTGAGCGTCAAACATCAGAAGGTTAACAGATTGAATACACTTGGGAAAACCAGCAAGTAAGATCTTCTACTAAAGGCCTAAGGTTAGAGGCAGCCATTCATGGAGCGACAAGGCAAGGACAAACGAGGTTGAAGAAGGAGATAATGAAGATTCGATGGCCGATGGTTGCAGACTTAGCCAGAAGGGGGGAGGAGCTTGCGAAGTTGGTTATGAAAAAGGGTCGAGCTGGAGAATGCTATCGGATTGAATGAAAATGGGAATTGTCACTTGGGAGGAAAGAGGGGATGATGGAGTTTTGCGAAGGCTTGGGGTTTTTAGATTCCAAAGGCACAAATGTGAGGAGGCGGTTGAGAGGCTAGTTTTTTTTTTTTTTTTTGGGGTAATGGGTAAATGAGAGTGCATTAATGCTTGAACAGAGATTTCGTGAAGAGACCTATATCACTTTCCTCCACTGTTATTAGAGTACAAGGTATGCTAGCTTTAGATAGGAGATAATTGAAGCAACCAGAAGATAAAGATTTATTCAAAACCTGCATTAGATACTTTTCACTTTTTACTAATAAAATGTGTTAAACCAGAAATGGCCCTGACGGGCTTCATATTTTGAGAGAGAAGAGGAGTGTTTCCAATTTTACATGCCCAATAAATTTTAAAAATACCCCTAATTACTGTTTGTATAGATCACTTTTTGAAATAAATTTTTATAATATATTGATGATTGATAATAAATTTATTACTTCATATATTTTTTTGGGTAAATATAAAAAGTAGGTTTTGCCAGCAATATAAATTATCCTCGTCAAAGTACTAAAGGCAAAAGGCAGGCCTCTTTCAATTAAATTGCTAGAAATTACATAAATTAAAATCCAAACAATAAAATGTTCTATTCTATTTTATTATTTAATTATGTATTTTATTCTCCAATTTATTATCTTATACATGCGTATATAAAACTCAATCAATAAATATCATGTACTATATCTATCATTTTTACTATAAATCTTATATTGGTTTGATCATGGGTCCCACATTTATTTGGCATTGCATCCCCCATCTGAATTTTCATTAAACAAAACATTAAAAACGAAAAGAAAAACAATTGTTATTGTTCATCCATATGTAGATGAACAATAGCAATTATATAGTTATATATATATATATATATATAAATATATATATAAGGTTGCTTTTAATTGTGTCGCTAGTTTTGAGAAGAAAAATCACCAAGTGAATAAAAGAAAAAATATCAATGAAAGATCGTTGAGAGAAATTTATAGTAATCAATAATTATTTATTATCAAAGGTTAAATGAATATTTATCTATTCATATTAGTATTTTATTAATAAATTTTTATTCAAGTTTTAATAATTTATTTTAAATTAATAATAATTCATTTAAATTTTAATAACAATTAATTTTTAATTAATATAAATTTTTTCTAACAGTCATTCATGACTATTTTCTCTTAATAAAACCACACATATTTGCAAGAGTTATAATTAGATTCGTTGAATAGTCCAAGTCTATTCATCCAAGAGGAATTTCAAATCGGCCTCCCAATTCTTTGAGAAAAGCTTACTCATTCCATTCAGAGAAATCAAGGTACCCAACGAAGATGCAGGTTGAGTGTAGCATACCTAAAGACGATGGCCCCTTAGCATCATGTATTGGGTTCCAGGTTCAACACGATAATGTCAGTTGGCCAATAATCAGATACCATCCTGACCTGAGTCTTGAGGTTATATATGTGTGTGTTTTCTTATTTCTGACTCTTCGAAATCTCAATTACATTGTCAGGAACACGCGTGTTTTGCTATTGTACATAAAGAAACCGCAAGAATGACAGCATCAACACTTGACGGACTAAATTACAATTGTTTTTGTGAATGAGGTGAATGCTTTGGCACGATTGTCACTGTAACGAAAATTTTACAGGAGGGTGTGATTTAGATGGATTGGCATGAATCAATTTTTTTTTTAACCAATTTTTCTTTTTTTTTATTTTTTATTATCTTTTTTTGAACTTCTAAGGTTAGGATCTCCCCAAAAATACTTAAGATCTACTTGGTTGATGGAAAGAAGTAGAATAGATTGATAAATAATAAAATCATGAATTGATAGAGAGGCGGGAATGATTGGAAGGTGAGAGTCATGGAGTGATAATTTATAACTTAAAAAACATTTTAACCAAAAAAATATTTATAACAAGACTGCTATATGCTCATAAAGAAAAATTGAGGGTACTCTGTATTTTGGAGTGGATCAACAACTCCTCTGTTGCCATGGCACAAGTTTCAGGTATACCTCTTCTTGGTTTCACTGTAAAGAACAACGCCAATCACAGTGAGAGCATAGCCCAACATTCCTACTGTTGAAATTGGATTCTTGAATATTAATATTGACACCACCACTGCCACTGCCCCCTTTGCATTCCCTAAAACCTGCCAATATATTACTGGATTACGCACATGCACGAGATATAACCACAAGCTTTTTTAGCTGTTTAGATTTGGAATGATATATACATACCTGAAGAGTTAGGGCACTGGTATATTTGGTGACCAAGAAATTAGTCAAGTTGACAAAATAAGCAAGGGAGGAACTGAAGAGCAGAAGCCAGACGATTCTGACATCGTTTCTGGCCAGATTCATCGCGATCCAAATCACATCTTTCTCCATTAACAATGCTGCTGGAAGTAACACCACCGTTGCCATTGGTGCCATGTACATCAGCAGATTCATGGAATTCATCTTTTCCCTGAATATAAGAGAACAAAACAATGTATATATTGTTAGATTGTTTAGGCATAAGACTTGAGCTGATATGAAAAGTTCATATCAGATAAAGTTGTGTGGTGTTCTTCCATGGCTCTTTTCCTATTTGTTACCTCCCTAACACGCGCGCGCGCATATAACTTCTAATTTTTTCTCTCTGGAACGAAACAAAAAGAGAAGATGCCTACCCCTCTGAAGATAACAAAACGCCTTGCAGCACAGATTTAAATGCTCTTGCGGCAGTTGCTGAAACGCATACCAGAAATCCAAAAAGATGGAAACTTGGTTCACCCTACAGCAAAATGATACATGCATGAGAAGGATTTGACAGAATCGAACATGACTAGTAATGGGGGTGCTTCAAAAGAAAAAATGAGGATCAAAATCTGATTACCCCAGTAGCTATGACGACCCCTGCAACGACAGGCACGAGAGTGGCGTAAGTAACCCAAGCTTCCCTTTTCCTGTTCACCAGGTAAGCAAAAACGGCAGTGAAAAATGGGGTGGTTGCTCCAATCGCCTGGTTAAACGACACCGGTATATACTTGAGCGAGATGTTTCCGCAGACGATGGAGAAGCAGAAAACGACACTCAGCCCACAGATTTTCAGCAACTGGCTCCTCGATTTTATACTCTGAAACGGTACGACGTTCATCACGTAAACGGCAACGTAGCTGAAGAACGAGCACGCCGTCATGTGACACAGAGTGAGGAAAACAGGGTACGCGAACCCGTAATTGCTGAGCAAGTATTTGTTGAAAAGAAGAACACCAATGTTTGAACTGTACCAAGATATCACCGCCCCAACCGTCGACCATGGAATCTCGCTCGAAATCTCCATCTGGGTCATCACAAGTTGATCTTGCTAGCCGGGAATTCCTCAGATGAGATAAAGAAATATAGTTAAGTTTCGAATTTGAAGGTGATAATGTAATTAATGGTCAGAACTCAGGACAGAGAAGAAACTATCCTCTTTTCCCATTCTGGGAATTCCTCAGAAGAGAGAAGAAGAAGGTGTGAAGGCAAGGTAATGGTGAGAAGTTATGACTGAGAGAGAGTGATTGCAAATAAATGGAGAGAAGAGAAGGAGAGTCACAGAGATGTGAAATTGTGGGTCAGCTATAATTTTCAGAGATCGGAATTGGAAGCAAAATAAGCATTTATTTGATGCACGTTTTTGAGTTAGATGGGATTATTTTAGACGTGGGACTGTTGTTATCATACAGCTTAGAGCAGAGACAGAGAGAGAGAGAGAGAATGTCAGGGAGGTTTAATAATGAAGTGATAGCAAAATTCTTCGTTGAGATGTTATCAAGCTGCTAAGGACACATTTGGGCAGGGGAAATTGAATTACAAGGTGGTTTTAATGTATCATGTGCATTTCTTCAAGGTGAGGAAATTGACAATTAAATATGTAATTATTTTAACATTCATGAATTGGCCAGTAGCACACTCAAAGGTTTAATAAGCTACAAATTATTGAAATCTTTTAAGTTATTGTCACGTTATTGAGAGTTGAGATTGTGTACATTGGCCATTGGCCTGGGTTCCAAGCAAGAAAAGGTCAAAACTTGGCAGTGATGCGTAATAATAAATGGAAAGAGTTGAATCCATAGAGGAAGAGATAAAGAGGGAGGCTAATAAGGATGTGTGGGATATAAAAGTTAGACAAAGGAATGGCCGGCCTGTGATTACAAGGTGGTGACCACCCTGAACACCTTGCGTTTGGCTGCCGGCAACCCCAAAGCCCTTTTCCTCTATTTGTTCAACATAAATAAAACTATACTATCTCTTGTCTTTATTATAGAGCGCATCCTAATTTTTTTTTAACACTATAAGATATTAATTACATTTTTAATATTTTTTATTTAAATTCATTAACTATGAAAAAGAGTTCAATTCAAATTTAAATTTTTTTATTTAAATAGGAGTAAAATTAAAAATTTATTTCATTTTTAGACAAAATTAACAACTTGACTGCCTCTTATTGATTTTGAAGAGATAGTTAAAGATGATTTATAATAGGGATTGGAGCAAGCATTCTCTTTAGTCTTACTTATAAGACAAAATTTTAAAACCTTATTTTATTCCAAATATTATATAGACAAAGATTTGGTAGTTAATTTTTTTTAATCTTATCATTCCTTAACTACAATAAATTGTTCACATGCTTTTGATTTCTATAGAGCATTTTATTTCGGTTATTAACTTATTAAGGGTAAAATTGAAAAGTCATATATTTTATACAAGTTTAAGGTATTACTACATTTTCTTAAGGTAAAAAAAAAAACTACATTTTTTAAAAAACCATAAAGTTTGCTAACTTTGCTCCATAATTAGGATTGGAAGGAGTGTACCTTATCTAATCTTATTTTAAATGTGAGCACTAGTTAAAGAGCTTGTTTTGATCAATTTGTAAGACTTTAATACCACTTGTCTGTCTTATTAATTTTTTTTTTCCAAACCTAACCCGGTTTATTACACACTATTTTCACTTCAAAATATTAGGAAGATTTAATAGAGAGGTATTTTTATAAAATTATCATATATTTGAACACATTAATAACAAATAACCAACTTAACTGGTTTTCTAGTCTTCTGAATTAGTTAATTAGTTTCTACATTTAAAATATGTTGGAGTAATATATATAAAGAATCGCATGAAGCCATGAACCAAACAACCACAGGATAATTATTATTCTCCAAGACTTATTCTTTGTTAAAATAAAACATCATTTTGTTGCATATGTTTTTCTTGTTATCCATGTATGATTATTCATACAATCCATGATGATTTTCATGAATGAACTTCATTCATGAAAATCATCATGCATTGTATGAATATTAATCATATATAATTACAAGAAAAACACTTGCGTCAAAATAATATTTCATTTTAACAAGAAAAACATACATAGCAGTTGCCATAACTTTTAAGCATCAAAATTTTCAATGAATGAGCGTGCATGTTCATGGACAAGCTCAAGTGTAAATGAGACTTGGGTTCTTGAATTGAAAGGCAATAAAAATATGAAAACCCATTCAAGATTTTGATGTGAATTATGAAATATAAGCTTTCAAGGGAATTCAGCGTTGGTACTTATTACGGCTTGCTCCTCGACAAAAGACAAGCATGATAATCGATGCGTAGAAAAAAGCAAGCATCGAAAGAGAATAAAATCTATATATAATGAAAAATACCAACATTTTGTGTAAAACTTCTCAAATTTTATAAAATTTTAAATATGGGTAGATCTGAAAATGAAAGTACAGAAAATTAATTCAATTCATCATGATTTGATCCATAACTTATAAGGTTAGATGATTTCTAAGTGTCTCTAAATTCTTTTTAAGTTTTGAGACATGTATTGATCTTGCTAATATCATAAAATTCAACTCACCTAAACTTTTGTCTATTAAAAACAAACAAAAAAGAAAATGGAGGCAAGCCCCAAATAAAAGAAAGCATCCCACCTCATGGCAACCAGCTCTGGCTAACCAATTAGCTAGCAGGATACAAGATCTGAAAACAAAATGCAAACCAAGATTAGCATTATCCTTGAGCATATTAGATAAATCAGCAACCAAATCATTAGCAGGCCTTGGCCCAAAAAAACAAAAACATAAGGGCAATCTGGGCATATAGCCCGTCCCAAAACAGGTCCACCACAGAGCCTTGTGCATTTCTAAAAGCAAATCCAGAGCTACCTTTAACAGAAGCAGCATAAAAAACAAGCATCCACGTTAAGGTGGAAAGAATTTTCGGCTTGAGAATCCAAAAATCAGAGAGACAGTTGCTAGCTAGTCTGCACTGATTACCCAGGAAACATCAGGAATTGTACTGATTTCAAACACCTCATTGCAATCGGCTTTTCAAATGTACCAACACAAATAAGCAGCTAATTTGAGCTTGATTATAGTCATTGTTCTATAGACTATTTAGAGTCACATATATACAGCCAAGATTCAAAACTTCAAACGTTAAATTCATTAACAGTCAAGTCCAAGGCGCAGTGAAGGCAAAAAGAAGAGGCGCTACATTTCTGCTCCCAAAGAGCCTCTCGGATGGGCAAGGCACTGAAAGTCAACTAGTTATTGAACCAACAAAGACACTAGTTCAAAAAATCAATTCCTAATCGAATCATAGTCACATCAATCTTGAACAAAGTATTTTATTAAAATGATTAAGATAGTTCACCTATTTATCAATTTGATTGACCCGGTTTTTAATATTGTGATAATAATAGGCAATGCAAGGCTACAAACCCTCCAAAGCAAGTAATGGGCCTTTGGTTGAAATTTCAGAGATCCAATTTATTTTCCAAAGATCATTAAGAGTGCATGAAATAAGGCCCTGAAGACTATCATATACAGGAAAGGAGAGATTTATAGACAATCTCAATTTTATTTCACAAGTTCTTTTACAACTGAATGGGTATTTTGTGTGTGTGTGTGTGTGTGTGTGTGGTGCAAACAAAGGGCTTAAGCCCACAAGTCAGAGTGGAGGCTCATGCCTATTCAGGGGATCACTTGAATAGGTAAATATCTTATTGCTTTAAATGCATTGAAGTCCTATATAAAGAGGAATTACTTCAATTATTAATAAATTTTATAGTAATTAATTTTTTTATGTGAGATTTATATATAATTTTTCCTATCTTATTTCACAACTTTTATACTTTTAAAAGTGAATATATATATATATATTATATTTAAAAAATAAAAAGAAAATAGGGAGAATTTTAGTTAAGGATCATGAAAGAGATTTAATTTGCCCAAAAATATTTTAAAATTTTAATTCAGTCAAAAGGAGAAAAGTCAAAAGAATTTTAATGGTGAAAGGACCAAAACTTCATGTATTATGCAGAATCATTAGTTGTTAATTTTTGTATTGCACTTATTAATTTATCAATATCACTTGTAAATTACATCTATTTGTCAAACAATCAATAATATTAGTTGTTAATTTACTAACATTAGTTGTAAATTACAAGACCTGTCAAAAATTAACAATTGATGTTAGTAAATTATAAGACCTATTAGTAATTTACAACTGATATTAGTAAATTAATAAGTAAAATTGATAATTTAACAACTGATGTTGTTGCTTATTATTGAAAAATTGATATCGATTTTTCTATAATTATTAATATATCAACTTATATAATTTACAACTCATATTTGTAAATAAATAAGTAAAATAAAAAATTAACAATAAGTAATTTTGCATAATAAGTGAAGGATATTTTAATTTTTTTATCGTCGAAATTCTTTTAACTTTTTTTTCTTAGATTGAATTGAAATTTTAAACTGTTTTTGAACCCACCTAAAATTAAATTTCTTCCTTGATTCTTAGTTCAAATTGTCCCAAGAAAATATATTTTGGTATATTCGACAACCTCTACCAAAATGAATTTCATACACAACAATATTTTTGTTTTTCTTTTTGTTTTTGTTGTTTTGTTTTTTGGTCTGCATGAATACATGGATTGAAGCCAAGTCACTCAGAAGAAACTGGAAGCTCCACGTCACACCACCTCCCCCCGCTCCCCCCGGGGGCGAAAACAAATTGGAAAGTAAGCAGACGCTCACTGTTACTGAAAAACAACAGAAAAGCGAGTCCCTAGGAAGCTTCTTCTTCATTTCCCATCTCTTTTTCCATTTTGCCTTTTGGATTCGGTTGATTAATTCCACTTGAGAAATCAGAATTTCCCATATCGGATTTTTTGCCTGTGAACTCAACTATGGCTTCCGTGCATGGCCCTTCATCGTCCCCTTTGAGACTTTTTGTGGACAAAGAAAGAAACAAAGTGGTTGTGGGTGAAGCAAGTGCAGCTCTCACAGACGTTCTCTTCAGTTTCTTAACCCTTCCTTTGGGAACCATCGTTCGGCTTCTCTTCAACAAGCAAACCTATTTGAACAACCTCTACCAAAGTGTCCAACATTTGAACACACAGGTACATGCACTCATATTTCTGAATGTACATGTTCAATTTTATTTTTTTAAAAATAAAAATTGTATGAGTGAAACAAAATTTGCATGTGAATAGGTTTTGTGGAATGGAATCTGTAAGAAAATGTTGTTGTGTCCGCGTAATCCGAGCCAGAAGCTTTGCCAGAAACTAAGATTCAATGTGGATGACACAGAGCCCACCAAATATTTCATGTGTGGCTCCTGTAGAGAGTCTGGCGATACATGGGTAAGTACTTTTGCAGAAGTGAGTTGCACATGTGGAAAACTGATGGACCAAGAGATGAAGGTGGAGGGGGAGGAAGATAATAATCCAAAAGGAGATGGTGTTTTTGTTAAAGGCGAGAGTATGTATTTGATCTTTGATGATTTTGACAGTACGTCAAAATTCTGCATGTAACACTATCCATCAGCTCGTCCAACTTGGCTACACAGACTTCACCAAGCTCACTGAAATCTCTCCAAACGTTGGCTTAAACCAGGTCATTATTGTTATCGCTTTCACTCTGTTTCACTTAATACACATGTAACACCTTGGTTGAATTTGATGTTCCATGTGTGTGTTTTAGATTATGGAATTGTTGAAGCGTGCCTTGATCTCAGCATCTCCTCTCACTGACGTATTCTTGGCTCCAGAAGCTGGTGGATCCAAGCCTGTGTCGTCTTTTGCAGCTGGACTAGCTTCGCAAGATGTGCATGGGAGGAATTCTTCATATAATCTCCAGATAACAGTGAGCAAGTCAAAGAACAAATTCCTGTTTGCTGAGGAAGATTTCGCTGATTTTCTATTCAGTTTCCTGGCCATGCCTCTTGGATCTACTCTCAAGCTTTTAGATGGCAATGTCAATCTGGGTTCAATGCATAATCTGCATAAAAGTGTGAAGGGTCTGAATCCTTCATGGTTTGGACATTATCGCTCTCCATACTCTCCATTCTCTCCATTACTGGATCTAAAGGGTGCTTCTCAATATGGCTGTAAGAAGCAGAGATTAGATGTCCTAGAAGAAGAAAGGCCTAAATACTATCATGGCACAGGCGTCTATTGAAATAACACATGTTATTTAAGCAATAATGGAGTGATTTCGAAGGACCCTGCTAAGACACAGAGTCCATCGCCGCTGATGTTTCATGACCCAAGATCTGCTGATGGAAGGAGAGGATGCGTGGGATTTGTGAGAAGACCAGCACTTTTTGCTGTGATGGATGATCTCAAGTCAAGCCATTGACATCTACTTCAAGCATTTCGTTTCTGCAGAAATTGAAGGTCCCTCTGAACGATTTGGAACAGCATAAGGTGACAATTCACAAGACTGAGGTAAAATTTATGCTCTTGTGATTTTCTGGAAATTAAAGACTGATTTATTAGGTGAATTAAGAATATGGAAAAAGCTGGGAAAAGTTGTTATTTTCAATATGAGTGTTACATCAATCATCAATTATTTTGCATGGTTCAGGCACTGTGTCTGTTGGGATCATCTTTGACATCCCAAGCTGCATTGATGAATGGGCTTTTCTACCTGGTGAAGAAGCAAAAAGAAGAAGCGACCAATGTTGATCCTACTCGGCCCGCCTACTGAATAATGGATAATTGTATTAAAAAAACAAAGAAACCAAAGCTTGAACTTTTTGCATCTGGTTATAAGGGAAGGGGCATTCTAGAACTTCTTCATTAAGTTTGGATATTTTGATTTTGCATCAGATGGCAATGGCAATATCTTGCATTAGATATATGTATGGAACTTAAAAGTTGTGATGTAAATAAATAGAATTGTCATAATGGCAATATCTTGCATTGGATGGAACTTTTATATCAGCCAAACACCAAAGACAACAAGCATCTAGATATTTTAATGGAACTTAAAAATGTTGTGATGTAAATAGATAACTATCCACTCGTTACTTGCATGTGGATTTTGTTATGATAAAAGTGTCAAGATAATCATAATCATAATTTTGCCTAAATATTAAAAAACACGATGAGTCATAAAATAATTATAACCATTATTAAATCCATGCACATTTTGTCAAAGTTATATATTAAAATTTATGTTTATAATAATAGATATTAAAAATGTACACCAGTCAAAATTAATGCACCTTTTGATATTCTTTATCATAATCCGTATAAATATGAATTGATTAGAGTTATGAATATGAAGAGAAAGTGAAAAGTATAGAGTCATTTTTGGTCTTATTCCATGCAAGGTACAGTGCACTAGGGAACCTATTTATGTGTATAAATATAATTTAATCATACATCTAAATTTGATATACTCTTAAGGCTCTTTCATCACTCTCATACGCTCCATCCTCGAAGCAAAATCCTATTTGAGAAATTTTACCTAGTAGATTTCGTCTTTGCTTGCTAGCTAAGTTATGGTTTCCATGCAAGACCAAGCATCTCCTTTGAAACTTTTCGTCCACGAAGAAATGAACAGAGTGGTGGTGGCTGAAGCAAGTAGAGATTTCGTAGATGTTCTGTTCAGTTTCTTAACCCTTCCACTGGGAACCATCATTCGACTTCTTTCATTAGAGATTGGTTGCATCAACAACCTCTACCAAAGTGTGAAAGATTTCAACATGCAGGTAAGTTGAATTAAATAACGTAATGTTGCTAAATTTGTATGTGAAGCTGAATTAATTTGTCTCTACATATATAGGTTTTCTGCATGAAATCTGTAAAAAAAAATGCTACTGTGGCCGCGTAATCTGTGTGGAAAACTGTGCCAGAATCTAAGATTCAATATCGATGACACAGAGCTCACCAAGTATTTCATTGATATGTGATTCCTGCGGTGTGGGTGGTGGAAAATTGCCTAGTCCTTTTGCTGGAGCGAGTTGCTCGTGTAGGAAACTGATATGGCCAGTGAAATTAAGTTAGAGGGGGAGAGAGATAATCCCAAAGGAGATGGTGCTTTTATTAGAGGCGAGAGTATGTACTTGATCTTTGATGATTTAAGAGTTCTTCAAAATTCTCCAGCAAACACTGTCCACCAACTTCTCCAACTTGGTTTCACAGCCTTCACCAAGTTCAATCAAGTCACTCCAAATGTTGGCTTAAACCTAGAAATATTTTCATGAATATTTCTTATTTTCAAATTTTATGGAAGCCTTCTCTTAAAAACAAATTCGTTTGTTAAAAGTATTATATCCATTCTTCTTCTTCTTATTTTTTTTTTTACAGCATAAAACAACTGAACAAATCTAGAATGTATAAACAGTTCTGATATTCTTCATATATAAAAGCGGGCCTTGATCTCCAAATCTCCTCTCAGTGATGTATTCTTGGCTCGGGAAGATGGTGGGTCTAACCCCACATTCTCTTTCATACCTAAACTAGCTCCATCAAAGTGCCGGCCTGATCATCGTGGACTAGCTCGAAGTGTAAATGATTGTGTAATTAATCTCAAGATAACAATGAGAAAGTCAATGAACAAAATCCTGTATACTGAAGCTGAGGCTGATTTTTTTTTTTTTTCTGATTTTCTGTTTAGCTTCTTGATAGTTCCCCTTGAATCTACTCTAAAGCTTTTAGAAGGCAATGTTACAATGGGATCTATGCAAAACCCGTACGAAAGGGTGAACGGGACGACGTTCATCACGTAAACGGCAACGTAGCTGAAGAACGAGCAAGCCGTCATGTGACAGAGAGTGAGGAAAACAGGGTACGCGAACCCGTAATTGCTGAGCAAGTATTTGTTGAAAAGAAGAACATCAATGCTTGAACTGTACCAAGATATCACCGCCCCAACCGTCGACCATGGAATCTCGCTCGAAATCTCCATCTGGGTCATCACAAGTTGCTATCTTTCTAGCTGGGAATTTCACAGATGAGATAAAGAAATATGGTTATGTTTCGAATTTGAAGGTGATAATGTAATTAATGGTCAGAAATCAGGACAGAGAAGAAACAATCCTTTTCTCCCATTCTGGGAATTCCTGAGAAGAGAGAAGAAGAAGAAGAAGAAGAAGAAGAAGGTGTGAAGGCAAGGAAAATGGTGAGAAGCTATGACTGAGAGCGACTGATTGCAAATGAATGGAGAGAAGAGAAGGAGAGTCACAGAGATGTGAAATTTTGTGGGTCGGCTATAATTTTCAGAGATCGGAATTGGAAGCAAAGTAAGCATTTATTTGATGCACGTTTCTGAGTTTGATGGGATTATTTTCAGACGTGGGATTGTTGTTATCATATAAGGCCGTTTGGTATGATGAGATTAGAAGGGTTGAAATGGATATGAAAATAAAATTATTTTTTTTTATATTTGATTGGCTAAAATTACATGAAATTAGACTTGTACGTAAAAGTCATTTTCATCAAAATTGATAAAATTGAGTTTCATATAAAAAACTCAATTTTTAAAATTCATCTTTTCAATTTCTGTTTTTACTCTTTCTCTCATCCACCGAACTGATGGCAACTTTTGCCCAATGAAAAACTGAACACATACTAAGCCTTGAGACACATTGCAATTTAACTCACCTAAAGTTTTGTTCATTAAAAAAAAATGTAAACTAAGATTTGTATTATCCTTGAGCATATTAGATAAATTAGCAACCAAATCATTAGCAGGCCTTGGCCCAAAAATTAAAAAATAAAAAACAAATAGCAGGCCAATCTGAACATATATGGCTCTTCCCAAAACGGGTCCACCACAAAGCTGTATGCATAATTCTGAAAGCAAATCCAGAGACACCTTTAACAGCGGCAGCATAAAAAACTAGTATCCACGTTAAGTTGGAAAGAATTTTCGGCTTCAGAGTCCAGAGTTCAGAGAGACTGCTGCTAGCAAGTCTGCACTGATTACCCAGAAAACACCAGTCAAACACCTCATTATACCAACACAAATAAGCAAGTAATTAAAGCTTGATTACAGTCATTGTTCATGAGATTATTGAGAGTCATACATTTAAAAGCCAAGATTCAAACTTCAAACCTGTTGGTCAAAAAAAAAAAAGAAAGAAAGAAAAAAAGAAATATTAAACCTCAAAGGGCAAGCGAACCACACAAAGTTAAGGCATGTTCAGTTGTTCTCCAAGGGGCGGTGAACACAACCAGAAGAGGCAGATGCGCTACATTTATGTTCCCAAAGAGCCTCTCTGATAGGCAAGGCAATGAGAATCGACAGGTCATTGGATCGATTAAAACACTAGCTCAAGTGTTAATTCACCATTAAAATATAGTCAAATTAATGATAAATAAAATATTTTATTAAACTAATTAATATACTAATTTAATGATTTACTAGTTTAATACTGCAGCTACAAACCTTCCAAAGCAGGGGGCAGACCTTTGGTTGAAATTTTGGAGGCCCAATGTATTTTTCAAAGAATATTAAAGCCTTGTTTGATTGTTACAAGAGACAAAAATAGAGTGAATAAAAAAATTAAAATAAAAAAGAATTAAATCATCTTTTTCCTTTATGATAAATATAATAAAACTTAATATTATATGCTACAAATGTATAAATTATCATACCATTAAAAAATCTTATAAATCATGATTCTTAATTATATTGATTAGGAAAATATTATTCATCTATTCCTCTTCGCATTTTAATCATCTTACATTTATTTTTCTTTTCTTTAATTGAGAGTGTATACAATGAGGCCTTGTAGAATATCATATACGGGAAAAGAAGATTTATGTACAATCTTAATCTTTTTAATGCAAAAATTTAGGTGTGTTGATGTTAGCAAGGGCTTATCAATTCTAGTGCAGACCTCCGAAACTTCTAAAATGTTTATAAAACTACTTACAAACTATTTATCAATAAAGTTTTTATATTAGCAATGAGAGTTGGACCCATCACTTTATGAGTTATAGACTAAATTTTTATTAACTAGATTAATTTTTGTAGGTATATGCAATCTCAAATTTAATTTTTCATTGTCTGTATGAATGGATACATATAGATTGAAATATTGAAAAAATGTTCTTTAGAAGCGAAGGATCCTCCGGCGCTGGACTTGCAAACGAGTTTTGGAGCCAAGTCAATGGACGAATCAGAACAACCGCAAGCTCCATGTCACTCCACATTTTCCACTCAAAGCAAACTAGCGTTTACGCTACTTTTAAAGTAATATTTTAAAGTTTTTTAGAATTGTTTTACATTATAAAAAAGCAAGCTCTATGAAATCCATATGATCAGCGCAATCAACATATACAAAAATATTAATAATAATGTTTGCAATTTGTTCAATAAACAATAAACATGATAATAACTAATTAAATTCTCAATTTGTGACTGATAAATTTTACACATGCAGTGGGAGGGGGTAACATATGCCAATATATACTCATTTTTTTATTATTATTTGTAGAGTTATTTCGTTCTGATTTTACATCCTGAAAAAAGTTTTAACATTAAAAAATATACACTAAGATACAAATTTGTGTGTTACAATTTACTTAGTCTTCCACTTACACATAAACTAACTTCATTTATTGTCCATTTTTATCTATGTTGCTTGGTAGAACTGCCTTTTCATATTGTACATGGCCAAAGAAAAATGATTTCATTTGTTACCAGATAAATCTGTTAAATATGCTCTTCTTCTTCTTCTTCTTATTATTGTTATTTTGAGAGAGAGAGGGATTTGCAAATCTTATTCATGGCTAACATAAATTAAAAAGTATTTTCTTCCCAGCATTAACATTGAAGTCCGTGTGAAATGACTCTAGCGCTAAAAACACCCTTTTTCAGAAAAGAAGAAATTAATTTTCA